ATCCCGGCGTGCCGCAGCCTGTTGCGCGCGTCTCCACTTTCCTTCCTTCCTTCCTTCCATTCTTTTTTTTCCTCTCTTCCGCACCGATTCTCTCGAGGTCGCGTGGATGGTGCCGAAGACATCTGCCTCTTAACATGTCAATCCGACGTCAATCTGGACGTCAGACGAAAAGCGAGGATATCCTTGAAATTACTAATTATATTTTATTAATACTCGATATCGATTGTATTTTATTGCATTTTAGTAAATGTTATCGTAAATCGATGGTGTAGGTCTGCGAAAGGAGATGTTAAAAGACCGTCACGCGCTTCGTCGATCTTCTTGTTCTTGTTTATTCGACGCTAAACCCGAGGAATCGTTGTTTTACGCCACGGTTCGTCGAACCTGAGCGAAGCCGAGGCACGCCAAGATGTGTCGATTATGGCGGCTTATCGGACTTACACGGCCCGTTCGCGTTCTTTCCTACCGCGGCTGATAGTAACCAGATGCAGAAATAGATTTGAATTGTGGTGAATGAACTGAAGAGCCACAAGGGAGGGTGGGAGGGAGAGAGGGACGAAGCTCGGTCAAGGCTTCGTTTATTTACATCATGCAAAGTGCATCGCGTTCACATCGCCGTGGGTCGACCTCGCGCATGTTCGCGAAGGCGCGCGTGTTCTGTTCTAGCGCGCCGATTACTTTCACCTCGATACGCAGGTAAATTGGAATTATTTCGATAGCGCCGGCGAGCGCATCGTGAAAGTTCTTAAATGTCACAGACTTTACTGGAGTAAAGCTGTAATGTGTGTATATATATATATGTTATATATATAAAACGTGCAAGGGAAATAAATTTAAAATAGAAATGACGCAAGTTGTGCCGGTAGCAAGAACAAAGTAAAGGGGAAAACTCGATCAAGCGGAAATAATCGGGCTGAAGTATAATTTAATCCTTCATTTCCAAACCCACGGGCTTCCGTTCTTTCGGCCGAAGGAAGGATCGCGAGAGGTTTCCATCGGCCACCGACGTTGTGTCACATTTGCAGATGCGCGGCCTTTTCTAAACCGCGCGGTTATCTTGTTTCCAATTTTCTCTCTTACCCGATCGCGGAACATCTGCTATTTCGCTGCCGGCAGTCGGGCCAGGAACGAGATTTTAATTAAGCTCGGTCCCGGGACGCCAGCATCTCGGCGACTCATCGCGACGCGCCAAGATTCACCGGAGAGTCTTGCAGTCTACGAGGTGCACTTCCGCGCAAATGTGTGCCACGGGTTTCCCACGAGATGCGCCGGCGAATGTCGGCATAGGCGCGGGCATAGACCAATTACTATTGAGGGGAGGGGGGGAGGAGAACGAGAGAAAGAGAGAGAGATTCTCTCGTTGACTCGCGCGATTTGCGTAGAGAGAGACGACCGATCGCCCGGCGCTCGGTCGCCCCCGGAGGAAAAAAGGAAGACGCGCGCGCGCGCGTCGCATTTAATGACTGTCACGGCGGTTGAATCGGCGATTACTCAGCGAATATTCGTATAACTGTTCAGGCGGTACGTTGTATTTCGCGGCCGCGATTGATCCCCGCCACTGAAAGGAGTCCGCGCTCCTCAATCCTCCGGACGCCGTTGACCTTTCAACATGGAGAAATTCGCGAAAACACGAGTACAACGGAAGAGCTGATCCCTTCCGAACGTATAAATTTATTACGGGAGAGGACGCAGCCTCTCCGCGGAATTCTCTAAAAATTATCTGCAAGAGAGAAGGAGAAGATATTCGGACGAAATATCGTGAATAGAGGAATCTCATCTTGTAATGGGCTAAAATAATTGGCCACCTCGCGATGATGGGCTGCGCAAGTTTCAGCTGTCCCCGCTAAACGTCTCGTCTGCGGCGGGATCGCGGCGGTGGTGAATAAGCGGCCCGTCGCGAGGGGTAAATGGAGTCACGGTTTGGTACGCCGAGGCCAACAAGAACTGGCGAGAGATGCAACGGTATACGTCATAACATTCCCACGGTGAATCGGCCGGGTGTTTTCTAACCGGCCGATTCACGGAGGTGCGTCGGCGATTCACGTTCTCGCCGCGACTAATCGTGACTGAACAACGAACAAGCGCTTCTCCAATCGGCGTAAATTGGACTTTCGTCGCGGGGATGCGCATCACCTGCTTTCCCCGCACATTTGAAAAATCGCGCGGTCCCACGGAAATCCACACGGACGTGTCTTTTCGCGGGACCGCGCGATTTTCCGCTCTATTCATTGCCCGATCTCGATCTCAGCGATTTACAATTTTGCAAATATTACGTTTGTCATGCTTAAATTGTGCCCTCGAATCGTAATGTCGATAGAAAGGTTGGTCGGAACTTTATAGCTTGTATAAAAAATGAATAGACATATATATTCGTTTCCTCTGTTGCGTAATTGAGTCTCAGAAACTGATTCGAGGCGTAAAATCGACCAGCGGAAACCGCCGTATGTATATAATGATAATTTTTAGACGAACAGCGCTTCATTATCACTTAAACTTATGTATTCCGACCCTTTTTTTTTATTAGCCTACGCGACAGCGTAATAAAAACGCGCTCGAGACCGGGACCGATCAACAGGATGATACGCGACTTCCAGGAACGAACTGTATCCGGTCAGTCCCGGATTTCGCAATGTTGCCTCACAGCGGACAACAGCTCCCTTCGGGTGACCGGCCGAAAATTACGCGAGAAAACAAGCGGAACGGGACGGTACGCGACTCCGAGTTGCGACGCGGCACGCAATCGTCTCGTTCGCGGTCGTTGCGTGACCTCGGCGCCTCGGCAACGACCCGGCGCGGCGCTCCCGTGAAATCCTGGAAACCTCGCGCGCATTTACTTTTTACATAATTGCACCGCGTAGTAACGGTCCCGTCGAGCGAGAGAGGGGAAAAAAGCGCGACTGTTCCGCCTTCCCCTCCCCTTTCGACAGCGAAGGGAGGGGGGAAATTAGAAATTACAATTAGCGCGAACGCGTTTCCTAATACGAGCGCCTTACCGGGAGCGTGAGAAACCGAACGGTTCACGATTTTTACCGGTACTGGTTTTTTTTTTCTTATACCTGCGCAAATCGCGTTTATTCAGTCGATCTCGACGACGACCGTTATCGTGATATTTCAATTCGTTAGCGGATACCAATTAATTGCCGTTAACATTGGTATCCGGCGTGTTTTTGTATCGCCTGTCGCCGCGATAATTTTCTAACAATAGACTGGATACTCCTGTGAGTAGATCGCGCGTAAGATCTTGCGAATATTTATGCAAATATTGTAGGAAAAAATAATAGACAATTTCAATGTTTTCTGGAGTGAAACATTTCTTCCGAGATCGATTAACACTGTGGATACATTTTTATCGAGTCACCGGTATTTCGGAGCGAACCGCATTGTTCCTCTTCCGCATTTTTATTTCTTTTACAGGGACAGAGGAAGCACCGCAAGTTTGCGAATGAAGTCGCCAAGGCGTAATCCAACTCCCCCCCTCCCCCGTATTATTGTAACGGCGGTTTCCGGACCGTCATCCGTTTTGCGGAGAAAGCGGATCGCCCGGTGTACCTCGATACTTGACGTCCGCTCTTGGGAGCCGCTTCCGGTGCGAAACGTGCGGTTTCCGGCGCACGTACAATATCGGCTACGCGCCTCTCGGCATATCGATACTCAGTAAGAACGAGGCTCTCGCGAGCGCCGGTCGACTCGGCGCGGCACTCCCGGTTTACTTTCAAATCGAGAACAAAGACTCGAGATTTTCTCAAAGATTTCTTCAAAAAATTCATTAAATTTGTCAATAAATATTAACGAGTGTTCTGTGGTATGTGTTATGTTAACTGTGGATGAGTGACCGGTCAAAGTGTTTGTAAAAAAAATTGTTATAAATCAGCGGCTAGTACCAAAAGCAACTACGATGTTTCCTTCTCAAAGATTTTCGCCCGAAATAGAAAAATTAGATGACTGATTATTTTGGGACTCTTCAAGGATCTCCTTCCCCTGCCCTTCTTCACGGTGGTATCAGCTGACACGATTTCCATCCTCAGCCCGAAAACGCCTTGGCGATATCCCCGCATTCCGGATAGGCGAGTCTGCATTATGAAATACCGGAGTGGAAACGCTCGATGGGCTCCGACGAGAGGTGCTTTTGCATTCGAGTTCCTCCGATCGAATTTCTCCCCTCTTTCCCTCGCGACGCGCTGAAGAGCGCTCCTTTGTTCATCGTCCGAAGTGGCTACCTTACCTCGAGTGAATTTCCCGGCCGCGCTAGAAACGTCGACGGCCTAGTTCTTCCGGTAAACGTTACATCGAGTCCTTCCCGATCGCGCCTCGAGAAAAAGAGAAATCCAACGACTTCGCAGCCAACGCCTACGCGCCTATGAAACAATCGGTCGAAAGATCGAGGCGATCCTTGAACGACGTTCATACGTTAGCTTTTGTATATCGAATAGAAAAAAAAGATGATCGTTCTCATAAATGTAAATCAAGTGTCGCATATTTCATTTCTGTATGAATTCTCGAATTCGTACCAGTATAGCCTGAAAAATTTGACATATCGAGAATTTGTATCCTTGTAACAGACTAAACATAAACATCAAGTGTCCTCTTTGAAAAAATATTAAGTATACCGGAATTGAACTTGAAGTAGATCTTTTTCTCAATTTCTCACATATTCGCCGCACCCTTCTGAGAACAGAGATTACTTATTCCTATTTATACAAGTTACGCAGATAAATATTTTATGTAATATATACGCATAAATAGGTATAAATAATATCTTTTTATATTTTATGCGTACATTACGTAAATAAGCATTATTTACGTAACGCACATAAATAAGTATAAATCATTTTTGCGCATTCTTTTTCTCACATTCGAATGATATTAATATCGAAACAACGCACTTGCGAAGCGAATTAAATGATTCGAAGTATACAATGTAATCTTCCGAGATTGAACGCGCAGATGATTGCAAATTGGACGCCGATGATTATATCGATGATTATCGTTTTCTGTTTCAGCGCCCCGATCCTCAAACGCGGGTACCAACAACCTGCCGCCGTTGACGTTTCACCACGTGCACGGTGACAATATCAGGCTGTGCAATGGCGGTACGATCGCCCGGAGGCACGAGAGTTTCTGCAAGGGTGTCACCTTTAGCGCCAGACCGGTGCGAGTAGGCGAGAAGGTGAGATCGCCGACGCGACGCGGCTTTTTAATAAATTTCACATAAATCCGATCGGCCGGCCGGCGCCCGCGTCGATTGTGGGAAACCGGCGGACTCTCGTTACGCTCGAGAAACCGCCGTTCGCATTCCTCGGAATATTAAAACGGACCGCCGCGTCGCCTGCACGGCCATGAGAGCGGCGGCCTTTTTACGTGGGTCGTCGTCGTTTTGCATATCGTCCAGGTTGGAGTTACGAGCCGCCCCTGGCGATGCCCGCGTCCAACGGACTTATCGCGTGTCTGCTTATAGTTATAGGTAGACGCGAGTAGATCATATGGCCGCGCTCAAAGATGCAAACAATTTTCAATAGAATCACTCGTGGTCTTCCGAGATCCGAGTCACGAATACGCGAAGGCCGGTCGCTGTGGGCGTCGCGCTGGATGTTCAAAGACTTTTAAAGCGTGTTTTCGGTTTCTGCGTGGCGGTTTCTAGGACTAGTCGTAAAATTATAATGACGCAATACACAGACGGGTGGGACGAACGAAATCGAGCGTAATTAATTTCCGAGGATGCCTCGAATAAAGCTCCATTTTAGGATCGCTCGAGCGGCGCCTCCGCTTCTTTCTCTTCTTTTCTCTTCCTCGTACAAAATCACGAGTTCCGTTCTACATGGTCGCTTTTCTGTAAAACTGCGCAGGTCTGCGTGAAGTTCCTGGAGATCTCCGACAACTGGAGCGGTGTCATCCGCTTCGGTTTTACCAGCAACGATCCGATCAATCTTCGTAGCGGTTTGCCGAGGTACGCGTGTCCAGATCTGACGAATAAGCCAGGCTACTGGGCTAAGGCGCTCGCCGAGAGGTTCGCGGAGAGGGATACCGTACTCTTTTACTACGTCACGTCGGCTGGCGACGTGCACTTTGGCGTCAATGGCGAGGAGAAGGGTCTCTTCTTCAGCGGCGTCGAGACCCGGGGCCCGCTCTGGGCGATCATCGACGTCTACGGCAACAGCACCGCGATCGAGTTCGTCGATCCGAATCGCCAGCACTTCAACAACATACGTAGGGGCGCCGAGCACAGCAACGAGGACAATGCGCAGCATAGCAGGCACTCGGCCATGGACGACGCCAGCAACGCCGGGCGGGACGTCGAAAGGATCATCGTGCCGTCTATGCAGAACATGTCGATTCATCACGAGCCTGACGTGGAGCTACCCGGTCTCAGGTTTCAACCCCCCGGCGTCATTTTCACGCCTCTGCCCTTCCACTCGTGAGTATATCGAGCGTGCTAGATTGTGTCCACTCGCGTTTCATCCGCATGATTCAGCTCTAGCGTTAATGCGTGTCGCGGAAAAGATTCTTGCACTCGTCGGTTTAAGTCGCGATTGAATTATCCGGAGAAAATTATCTGGATGCCAACTTGCGTCCGCGCTTTGAAACGCCTATACTTGCGCAATTACGCTTTCCGATTAAAGTCGTCTGATCAAATTAGCAAAGTTTCGCATTACTCGACGAGAGTAGTTTCTTCGAAAGAATAACGCGAGAAAGTTGAAAGTCATCGATTTACAATGGAGGCGCGCACTACAATTCGCTGCGCCGTTCAGCCACACAGAACTAATTCGCCGTCCACTTTTCACGGTTTCCCAAGACACCCGTCGTTAAGCGAGCGAGCGCCGCCGAGGCTAATCGCTTCCTCGTTTTCTTTCTCCGCAGCACTCGGGGTAGGAACATCCGCTTCAGCAACCAGCAATGCGTGGCGACTCGCACGGACACGGAGTTCTGTCACGGCTACGCGTTCACGAGTCGGTCGTTGCTGTTGGGCGAGCGATTGGTGGTGCAGATCCTGTCTACGGAACCGATGTACGTCGGTGCTCTGGCTCTCGGTCTGACTTCGTGCGATCCGTCGCGGCTCACGGCGGAAGATCTGCCGGATGACAGCGACCTGCTGTTAGATCGTCCCGAATACTGGGTGGTCTCCAAGGACGTGGCGTCGAGTCCGCAGCCAGGTGACGAGATCGCCTTCACGGTCACGCATTACGGCGAGGTGCAGATGAGCAAGAATGGCGGCCCACCCAACGTCGTCATGCATGTCGATCAGAGCCTCCAACTGTGGGCGTTCGTGGACGCCTACGGAAGCACTCAACGTGTCAGAATGTTGGCCAGCAGACCGACGTCGCCGCCCCGGCAACGTCAGAGCAATCCCTCGCCTGCCAACGCCGTTCAACAGCAACAGCAACAGCAGCAGCAGCAGCAACACTCGAATCACAGCAACGCCGCCACGGAATTGTCCAGATTCTCCGAGATGGTGCAGTTCAAGCCGGCGGTGGGCGGCGGCACGGTGCTGGTTGTGAACCTGCCGCCCCAGGCCGGTTACCCAACGCCACCGCCGCCAACGCCACAGCCAATTTACGCTTCTGCGACTCACAGGAATCCGCCAGCGCAGCCAGTGCATCTCTCGGCGGCGGCAGCGGCGGCGGCGGCGGCAGCAGCCGTGCCCGCGCCGGTCCCGCACCCCGGATCCTCTAGGCAATCCTCACCGCCGTTGACTGGAACGATGGCCAGCACCGGCTCATCGACGTATGTCGACCCGGTTACCTACCAGAGCCTGGACGGCACCCTGACATCGTCCCGCGCGACTTCGTCCCATCTGCAGCAGTGGAGTGAGAGCTTGCAGCCCACGCTGGCCGGCCAGCCGAGCGAGTGCTACATCTGCTACGAGCGCAGCATCGACAGCGTGCTCTACATGTGCGGCCACATGTGTATGTGCTATACCTGCGCGATCCAACAGTGGCGCGGCAAGGGCGGCGGTCACTGCCCGCTTTGCCGGGCGCCGATCCGCGACGTCATCCGCATCTATCGGTCCTGAACAGTTCGGAACCGACAGGGAGAGGAGGAGAGAGAGAGCGCGCGAACGTCTTCCTGGTTCCCAGCGCCGTCGTCGCCACCGCCACCGCCACCGCCACCGCGTCCATTACCGTGCTTCCGTCGTCTTGGTTTCCTTCCGCGTCGAATCCGCCGCGCTTCATCGCCGTCGCGCTTTTCGCCCGCCTCCACGACTACCGGAACGAATGAACAAACGAACGCAAAATCGAAGCGGAACTCGCCATCTCTTTACACTGCCGTATCTCTTTTTCTATTGAAACGCGAGGCACGTTCCGAGTAAACAAGTAAAACAAGTAGATAAATCGGGGAACGAAGCATTTCTCGTATCTTCTCGGGGACTGCGAAGCACAGAGTTACGCCGAATCGAATATTTAACACGGTTAATTAATATTTAAGGCAGTTCGCGGCGCGTCAGCGTGATCGCGTCGCTGTCAATTAACACATTAATGGGTGGACCATCTAATCATGCACAAAGAAAGCAACGGTGCTTTCGAAATCGCGATCACTGCGACCACTGTCGATCGAGCGAGAACGCGGAGATGAATTGCCCCGGATACGAATAAAAGAGAGAGAGAGAGAATGAGAGCGATAAAATGCTGTAGTTGGTCGAATTTGCTTGTATATCAATAATCTGCCAACCTGTGTTGTAAGTGAATGAAACGAATGATTGCGAATTGTGCGATTGCGTCATCGACAAAAAGAGATCGATCCTAGCTATTTTCACAAGCGACATAATTGTCATTATACCATTACCAATTATTACTATCGCTCCCGAACTATCACTATTACTATTCTACTACTACTATTACTGCTACTACTACTTATTACCGTACTACTCTTCCAATCTTTAATTATTATTTTATTATTAATATTATTATTAATCTATAATTATTATTAATTATATTATTAGTTGTTCGTTCATTGTAAACTGTCTTTAATTACTCGCGAGTAGCTTCGTTTGTCACGACCGCTATTATTTTTACGATTTGCCGATTATAGTGATGGTTGGTGAATTAACATAGTCACTATCTCGTAGCGTGGTTATTATTTAATGGACCGTGTGATTACATAGCGCAAACTTTCCGATCGGACGCCTAAGGATATCTGGATAGCTTAACCGCGTCTCCGGCCCTCCCTTTCTAGGGCGATCGAAAAGGCCCTCTCGTCGTCCCGTATCCCGACGGGTATCACGACGAGAGCGTGGTGGACTCGAGGTCCAGCAGTGTTCATTTTTCTCGATTATTGCCTCCTTCGGACGATAATATGTTTGAGCGTACGTGATCATCGCCGATCATGTCAGGCGGGCTTTTACCAAAGATCTTAAGCGTTTGCCGCCTTTTTATCCGGCCTTCGCGACACGGGCAGCCCTCGCGTGCAGGCAAATCTTGACGATGACAATCGCTTCAATCTGACCAACAAATATTCGTTCTGCCCGAATCTTCAGCGTCCATGATATCGGATATCGCGGATCGATTTATACGCCTGGCGACGATCAGTAAGAGATTTTTTGGCCTTCGCATAGCGAATCCTACATAGTGTATCCGCAAGACGCTGCGAAACATTGTAAAATCGACTTTATTTAGCTGATTGCGAACTTGTACAGCGAAGACTTTTTTGAATACTTTTCTAATTCGACGGAGCTTGGAACTATTAGGAATTTACATTTGTTCTGAACTCTGCCGCGTTTACCTTTACCTTTGGCGATTCGTGTTGACCCTTTGGACGTGAAAAGAGATACGAACACGGTACGGCATTGATTTCATTGATCCTCGAACGACTCGGAAATTCCTTTTAATTTTGGAGACAGTGTCTCGCGCGTCCAGTGTGTCTCATCGTGCTTGTGAAGTTTTTTAATCTCGGAAAGAGATCGTTCCAAGATCTTCGTAAATCCACGTCCTTTGACCAGTCGTGAACGAGAACAGTCGTTGTCCTGGTCAGTCGATAGAGAATCGTCAGTGTTTTATCTTGCGATGTGCCTCTAAGAGAGGAAGACAATTTTTTCACAGTCCAGAGAAAACTTGAAACGACGAAACGATTTTCGAGCCAAAGGGGACGACGTGTCTGGCCCTTTTAAAGAGTTAATTTTTAACGAATACGAAAGAAGCGAAGAGGAGGAGGAGGAGGAGGAGGAGGAGAAGAAGGAGGAGGAGGAGGAGGAGAGCAACCTCCCCTTCGGAATATACATATTATAAACAGATGCGCAATAAAGCGGTAGTGAAAATCTCTAGTCCAGCGAGCGGCAGGCTTAATCTGCCAATCCAAAAAAAAGTATAATGAAAAGAACGGGGTAAAATGCTTTTTCCTTTTTTCTTTCCTCTGAGTAAACGAAAGTGGGAGGTAGATACAGGGAGACAGACCGAGAAATTTTATAGATTACGAAGATATGCAAATTATTTGCGCGCGTCTGCCAGCGAACGGCGCGTCCGAGATTCTATTGAAAAGAATATAACAATAGATTAATTATTATTCTATTGATATGACGATAAAGAATTGTTCCAAAATGTCGCTGACGTAGCGACGCTAGAACGAAAGGTGGAGAGAGAGAGAGATAGGGATAGGATAAGACGCATGCTTGATAATAATTACGATGAATGTTTGTCATTATTGTCATCGTTATCGTTGTGATCAACGTGATTAGTTATCGTGTTATTCTGTCGTCAGCTTGGCAGCATCTCGATCATCGCTCTTACGTTTCTTACTTTGATTTACTATCGCTCTTATTATTATTGTACGATTATGCGACTAACGGCTATTTTAATTGGGTATTACTTGCAGAGCTTGGTATGTCTGTAAAAGAGAGAGAGAGAGAGAATATTTCTTCCTTTCGTCTCTTTTTTTTGCAATATCTTCTTTTGAATTTCTCATGTATCTCAGCGTAACGCGCACAAGTACAGAACGTTCACGATTTTTACACCACACTTTGCTACACTCGAAAAAGGGGAAAAAAAACAAAAAGTTTTACGTGCTATGCGAGAATTTCTCCGACCGTAATGTAAAGATGCCGACGGAAATTTATACATATGTAATATAATTCGCGCAGCTGCGTGCTGTTCCACAATAAAAAGCCTATAATGTCTACGCGCGGCGTTCTATCTTTCATTCTCCTTTTCTCGCAATTTCTCCCTGTGAAAATTTCCCATTAGAAACTCCTATTACAAGTTTCCGATCAAAGAATTTGATATCACGAGGTGAAATTGCTCTAAAAATTTTTTTATTACAAAGACGCGCAAAAACTTGTATGTCTAAAATAAAAACGATACATACAAAATATGTACAAAGGGACAACAAAACAATGTAAAAATTCTAGAAAAATGGTGCGGATAAATAAATAAAAAAAAAAAACATTCATTTATCCCACGAAAATGCATGCGTTCTTGGTGCACGCGATTGTCACTGCGAGTCTTTTAGCGATTAAATTTCTTCGCCACCGATATCCAGGGTATCTGTGCCGACTTCATGGTAATCCTTCTCTAGCGCAGCCAGATTCTCCCTGGCTTCGGTAAACTCGCTCTCGTCCATGTTCTCGCCGACATACCTGATGGCGCGTTACAATTCGCGAATGAGAATCCATGAATCCAGCAAGTCTAATTTCGTGATATAAAAATTAGCGTAAATAAAATTTACCAATGAACAAAGGCTCGTTTGCTGAACATAAGGTCGAATTTTCGGTTCAATCGGCCCCACGCCTCCACGATTGTCGTGGTGTTCGCCAACATGGCCATGGCTCTCTGCACCTTCGCCAGATCACCGCCCGGTACCACGGTTGGCGGTTGGTAATTAATTCCCACCTGTACCCAAATTAAACCAATAAAATGTTAAAATTGACGCTGAAAGCTCAATTATAACATGCGAAATATTCTAAAGATAAATTATTTAATTAAAATAATTTGTTAAAATATAAATCAGAATTTATTTTCTGAAATTTCTTTTACGTTGATAGCACACGAAGTCGAATTTTTACAATCTACAATTCACAAGTTATTGGAAAATCTTTCTTTGCTAATATGTATCATGAAGAAAAATTGACAAAAACCTTGAAACCCGTCGGACACCAGTCGACGAACTGTATCGTCCTCTTGGTCTTGATGGTCGCGATGGAGGCGTTAACGTCCTTCGGCACCACGTCGCCTCTGTACAGCAGACAGCAAGCCATGTACTTGCCCTTTCGCGGGTCGCACTTCATCATCTGCATGGCCGGCTCGAAGCAGGCCGAGGTGAGCTCCATCACGGTGAGCTGTTCGTGATAGGCCTTCTCGACGGACACGATGGGCGCGTAGGTCGCCAGAGGAAAGTGTATCCTGGGGTAGGGCACGAGATTCGTCTGGAACTCGGTGAGATCGATATTGAGGGCGCCGTCGAACCTCAGGGAGGCCGTGATCGAGGAGACAATCTGGCCGATCAGCCGGTTGAGATTCGTGTAGGTCGGCCGCTCGATGTCGAGATTACGCCGGCAAATGTCGTAGATCGCCTCGTTGTCCACGAGAAACGCGCAATCGGAGTTCTCCAGCGTGGTGTGGGTCGTTAGGATCGCGTTGTAGGGCTCGACGACCGCCGTGGAGATTTGCGGCGACGGGTATATGGCGAACTCGAGCTTCGCCTTCTTGCCGTAGTCCATCGACAGCCGATCCATCAGCAAGCTGGTGAAGCCGGATCCCGTGCCGCCGCCGAACGCGTGGAAGACGAGGAAACCCTGGAGACCGCTGCACATGTCGGCTATCTTGCGGATCCTGTCCAGCACGAGGTCGATGATCTCCTTGCCCAGGGTGTAGTGGCCACGCGCGTAATTGTTCGCGGCGTCTTCCTTGCCGGAGATCAGTTGCTCGGGATGGAACAGTTGATGATACGTTCCCGTGCGTACCTCGTCTGACGATGAAGAGGCGACATTATGGCATATATCGATGCTGTCATCATCTCGTTAATGATCACCATTGGTGAAATGAATCTTACCTATCACCGTTGGTTCGAGATCGAGGAAAACGGCCCTGGGTACGTATTTTCCGCCGCCTGTCTCGCTGAAGAAGGTCTGGAAGCCTTCGTCGCTTGTGCAGGACTGCGGTGACAACATACCGTCGGGCTGTATGCCGTGCTCCAAGCAATAGAGCTCCCAGCAAGCGTTGCCCATCTGCACGCCGCCTTGGCCGATGTGGACCGAAAGTACTTCGCGCTAACGGTTTCGATTAATCAATGTATCTTATCGCAAATCTATACCATCCTTTATCGTTAAAATATCACGATAAATACGAATTCCCAGTCTGCGTATAAATTTATGTTTTTTTTTTTATATTTTGAATTTATGACTCGTAATGTGTCTGGAGTTACATCGAGGTTGTGATAGCTCATATCAATTGTAAATGATTTGGTATTTTATCATGTGGAAAAACGTGATTGATGATTTTCGAATTGTTAACTCTGCAAATGACTAAGCTATATCTTTTAATATTTACCATTTTGAAGACTCGCTAGCTTGCAATAAGTGGGATAAACGCGTTATTGGCACCGGAAATATTTGACGCGGATTGATGACGACTGACGAGACGATTTGTTTTCGATTTTCTTTCCCGTTGTCCAGGGAAACGGCAGAAATAAATGTAAAAATCTAGTAAGCCTTAATTTTCAGATGGAGTCTTTTTACCGCAAAATACCGCCAATGTATCGCAAAAAGAATTCAATTAAAATATTAAATTTCTCAGTCCTTGTAGTATATAGAATTTTTATCATTTGAGGAATAAGAATAAGATACAAAAAAAAGTGATATTAATTTTTTTTTTATTTATCTATCTATGTATTTTTTTGGATTAAAGAATAGTATATGTATAGGTATACATACGTATATATGTATATATTAAATAGACAATTAAAAATGTATAACAATGTTATTAATGTGTATTGTGTCTCTTGTCATTATTAATCCTATTTCTAAAAGGCACCATTTAATTCTTTGATTCGTTAATTAGCATAAATAAACGATTATTGGCAGTATATAGCTTATAAAAATAATCTTCGTACAAGATTAGGCAGAGATAAATATTATTTGGTCAGATTCATACGAAAATGAGGGCAGGTCAACGAGCACGTGAGATCTTTTTGGTCTTATCGTTCTCGATAGCAGGTGGTGGACCTTTGGCACTTTGATGTCGATTGTAAACGCTGAAAAAGTGACAAATACTTGTTGTCAAGACTTCTACCAAATGCAGATTAGTTCAATTCTAATTAAAGCGTTAGAAGCATGAGAATCGTGAAATTCGTATAAAATGATGAAATTTCAGCGAAATATTTTTTTTTATTCTCCGAAATATTAAATGTTTAAAAATAGCAGCAGTCCCTAATAAAGCGACAGGAACACCTACTATCGGTACGTTTCCGAGCGAATGTAGTCCATGACGTGAGATATGCCCACTTGCAGCTGATCGCCGATCGGAGTAACCCACGGATTGAACTCCATTCGGAACACCGCTTTGTTACTCACCAGATCTAGGTTCCCTGCAATATGAATTATGCAGTACACGTTCTGCCGAGCTATCACAACGAAATTGTATGCACACATCGCCGTGATCTATCTACCTATCTCGGGAGGCAACACCGTCAAACGATTTCCCTGAATATGCAGCTCCCTAAGACGTGTCAGCTCGCCGATCTCTTTCGGTAATTCGATCAGATCGTTCTCCCTCAGTACGAGCTGAAATATTTCAATCGAGAGAAATGAGAATATTTTTTTTTTTTTTCATAAAACTGTAAAACCACGAAAGAGCACTAAAATCCTCTTACAATCTGGAGATTTTTCAATTGGCCGATTTCAGGCGGCAGATACTCGAAATCGTTGTCGGCGAGATAGAGCGCTCGCAGGGTCTCTAAAGAAAGGACAAATTAATGCGGAAATTTTTGCGGAGAGGCGCGCATTAGACGATTTAACAACCGTGACTGACCCATCATGAAGAAATTTCCGGGTAGGTTCTTTTCGCTGAGATTGTTGTACGTCAGGTCCAACACCTCAAGGACCGGAAACGCGCCGAAGCCGCGAGGAAGCACGTCCAACCGGTTCATTCTGCCGACAGTTAAATTTCGCCGATAAATTTCCATCGCGAAATAAGGATACGCGTAGCGCGCTCCTACAAAATGTACTGACCCCACGTTCAAGATCCTCAACTTTGGCATTTGCGATAGAGATATAGGCAGCTCGGTGATGTGATTGTTGAAGAGATTCAGTATCTCCAGGTTGACTAGATTGGCGAGACCCGGTGGCACCGCTGTATCGAAAACCACAATTGTCGTGACACATCGACTGAACTATCAATGCAATTGCGTGCAAGTTTGAAGAAGTTCCTCACCTTGAATTTTATTGTGACTTAGCGTCAGCCTCGTTACGTTAATCATACTCACTGAAACATGCGAAGATGATCATTTTATAGCTGTAGTTAACTTTAGCATCTTAGCAAAAGATATCTCTATAGTTTTTACAGACAATTACAAATCCAAAGTAAAAGTTTATACAAATGTAGATAGAATATCAAATTTAATGCAAATTCATGAATATGTGTAAAAATAAATTATTTGATGGATTCAATTTTGTAATTTTTCATTCTCAAATTCATAAGAATCTATTCAAAGATGCGAGATGTTTCGTTTCAAAATCATAATTTACAGTAAATTATACAATAAATTATTTGATGGATTAAATTTTGTAATTTTTTATTCTCAAATTCATAAGAATCTATTCAAAGATGCGAGATGTTTTGTTTCAAAATCATAATTTACAGTAAGTTATACAATAAATTATTTGATGGATTGAATTTTGTAATTTTTCATTCTCAAATTCATAAGAATCTATTCAAAGATGCGAGATGTTTTGTTTCGAAATCAATAGTTTACAGTAAGTTATATATTGTTCTTTTGAACAAAATTTTTACGATTTTGAAACAAAAAAGGGTAAAAGAAGAAGATTGATATTTCAGTACATAAGCTTTAAAATTCACGTTCGCGCAATATACATCCGTTTTATATTTAATCGTTCCCGTTATTCTACGTCAAACGCGAAGTGTCAAATTTAAAAGGCGAGCGAGCGTGTGCACGCGCGCGCGCGCGTGCGCCGAGCCGCCCACGTGATCCACGCGTTCCGCGTAGATGGCCGTGGTGCGGAGCGAGAGGCCAGCCAGCGGCCGACAAGTTGCCTAATTTGGCGATCCGGCGGGTGACGCGCCCGCGAGGACGCGCGGATGAGACTCACGCAATCCCGGCATCTCCTCGAACGTCGCGATACCCTTGTCCGCGAGGTCCAGCTCGGGATTCTGGATCTCCCGTGCCTCGTCCAGCACCTTCTTCGCCTTCGACATCTTCCCCGCAGGAATACACGACACTGGCGCGGTCTGATTCATTGCGCGCGCAATCGCCGTGGCCGCGATCGGACAGGAGCGTCGGGAGTGTCGGAGAAGTCAGGAGTGTCGGCGTCACCCGTTATTGGTGCGACAAGTTTATGCGTTCGTACGCTATTCTGGCGCGCGCGCGCGCGCGCTGTCCCGTGGTTTCCAGCTCGTCAGATGGCGGTTCTTGTACCTTCCACCGTGGATTTATATGTTATACTCGAATTTTACTAAAGAAAAAAAATTTGATGAAGCAAAAAGAACTTTGAAGTAAGAATTGAACCAAAATCTTTGCTATTTTATTTTTCTTGAAAGAAAGAATTTACCAATGATGCCACACTTTTATACTTATCAAAATGAAACTTACCTGCAGTGATATTCACTTTAATTTAATTTTTAAGAAAATATACTGCGAACAATTCAGATTAAGATGATTTTAAATATCAATTAAAGCTACATTCCAAATTGCTTTCAAGAAAAATTTTATCAAAAAGATATATATTATAGTTTACATTACGTATGCTAAAAATTTTTTGTAAAATTAAATTAATTCTTAAAAGCACATTTTGGAATATGTATAACCTAAATGTATAACCTAAAATCCTAAAAGATTGGACAACAAAGGCCGCTTTATATGTGAGTGGTGACGTCAGTGTACTGGAATGTAATTAATACACATGTATCGTCAGAGAGGTATTGTTCTGTCCAAACGTAAGCGATGCTCACTTTAAAGCCGCCTAGCAGTTTTATTTTCGTGAAGTGGCGAACCTTAACAACAACGTTGTCAGGGTTTGTCCGACGGGTGACGTCGTGAGAGGGGAGATACGAAAAAAAAGCGGGGATTCCACGACTTCCGCGAGGACCGCGAGAGAGAGGCTAGTTTTGTAACGAGTATACTGTCATCGGCATCGGTCATCGGTGTCTTCAAAATATTGCCGTTTTGTTCTCGTATTTTGAACTCAACAAGATACACGCAATCACGATGGAGGAGATTCGAGTCATGGTATGATATCGCATACACCGGTATTTTTATTCCAACACGATTTTTTTCTGTTTCTTGTGCCCGCATCGTAATAATGTCAACCACGTCTTTAAACGTCTTATCAGCCGATAAGCCGATATAGATATAATGCTATTTAGTCACCGTGTGTGATCGAAATAAATACATAAAAAGTAATGAAAATAAAATACTTTTGTTATTTGGAAGATTGTCGAAACAAACAAATGAAAAATAGTAGATAATGACACAGACAATGATACAAAAAGTACGGCATTGAATTTCTCTTAGAGAGATTCGTATTATTACGTTACCCTCTACTCGGAACATCGGTCATTATGACCGGTTACATGGAACCCCCCCCCCCGTCATAATGACCGCTATTTCAGAAAAACACGATTTTCATTCATTTTTCCACTGATGTAAATGTGAACCTTAACGGTCATAATGACCGATATTCCGGGCAGTTAATCACAAAATGTTTTTGAAACATTGGTTTATGTATTTCATAATTGTATGAATAATTACCGCATATTGATTGACTATTTTGTAACATTGCTTTAGTGGTGCGACACGCTGGAGGAATTGCTGCAGTGCCCCGTATGCTTAGAAGCATCACAGGGTGTAAAAGTCCAATGCACAAACGGACATCACATTTGTAATACGTGCAGAGTACAGCTGCAGATGTGTCCTATATGTAAATCTTCCTTTATGGGAACAAGAAATTTGGCGGTGGAACAAATGTCGGCCAAATTGCAGGATATAAAGGTATATCATCAGATGCTCAGTAACTTTTTCATAAAATAAAAACGACTAGGACAATTTTTTAAATAAAAGTATTGCTTCTCAGTTATCCCTGCTGCATCCATATCATGCGCTCAACAGAAGAATCCTACACGATAAAATTTGCGTGGCCACTCAAACCGATGATATTCAAATGCCCTCAACTGCCTCTCAAACCGAGCCTGTGAATCAAACTCAGTCAATTATCCCAAGATACGAACAAAGGTCGATGATAAGTCTAGCGCCTAGAGTAGGAAAAGGATCATACCCATGTTGTATTGGCTCTTGTGTAATGGAACTGCCACATGGAAGAATGATCGGCCATTTGCGATATCATCATAAGGATGTATTTTATGAGGTAACAACGTGTAGTCAGCGATGCGAATAGAATCGAGCTTTTCAATATTATAATTGAGCTTCTCAATTTTATAATATTGAGAAGCTCAATATTATAATTGAGTATTCTCAATAGTATAATTAAACTCTTCATATAATTAAGATTGCAAATTTGTTATGATTAATTATAGTTTAACGCACAAAATAATATATTAAGAAAAAATTGGGACCTGGAGTATATCTTGAATCGGGATTACGATTTTGCTTTTCACATCAGAGAGATGGGCTTATTCTTTTTGAACATAAGCATAAATCAAATGGGTGATATGTCGGCTTCTTTACAAATTGCCAATTGCATCGCTGTATGCAAACAATTCACATACACATTTGAAGCTGTCGGGAGAGTTACTTCTTCCTTCAATGGACTGGTAAGATTATCCATTGTTGTATTTGTCATATTATAAGACGTTTGAATTTCTTTATTATTTAATATTTTAAAACAAGATTATATAATTTTTATAAATAATTGTAAAGTTTTTAAAGCAGCATTTATGTTTAATAATAAGATAATAATAACAGCCTGTTAAGACAACTCGTATTTTCAAACAGGTAAGATCATGCAGAGTGCCAAAGAGGCAGTGTCTTTCGAATGACTGTTTCCGCATACGTGAGATGAACCTGCGCCAAATAGTTGATAATAAAAACTATTTTCATTGCAATTTAACGATAAAGCGTAGAGTTGATTACAGGACAAACGCTTCGCAAAATAACTTGAATGCTTCTGACGACATAGCGATTAATTAAAAAAAGTTATGCAATTTTTAATATTTATCATTTCTTGCACGAACACAGAAAACGATAACAGTAAAATGATTATTTGACTGGTTTCTCTGTAAAAGATATTTTTTGTATAAATGATTGAAGTTTATTTCTTAATTCAGTATAAAACAAACTTTTAATTATTCATTATGTTAACGATGACTTTTTCACTATCGATATGATTCAAGCAATTTAAACGTTTATCGAAATAATAATGTATATTTTTAGATTTAGACCATTTTGTGACTTACATCATTCAGTACTGCCTAATTGATAAACGAAAGAAGGGATTGAGAAAAAGAGACAGATTTTATTGCGGATTGCAGACACAGATGCAATCAGATATAGATGTGCGACAATTTTTTCATCAAATGTTTTTAGTATTAATATTTCGTTAATAATCGCGGTTAGGCAGTTCTGTTTGGTAAAAGAAAATAGGAAGGGAAAAAAGTATTGCTTGCGTACATATTTTGCCTGGAACACTTCCTATATATTTTTTCAGTAAATTAATATCAGAAGTTTCGATGTGGAATAAAAATTTTTAAGAACTTTAATCGTGACGAAACGGAGAACTTCGTGACGTACGTGTGTGTGTGTGTATTATAGTCACGACGTATGTGATATAACTTACATATAATATTACGGACAGAAAAGTTATTAATTGTGATACTTCTATATACGAAATAAAGTTATTACGTTAAAAACGAGTGTGTTCAATTATAATTGTCGTTCATCCGTCTGATTTTTTTCAAGTACAGTCTCGGCATCCGAGATTGTTGTGAAGTCGAAACAGGACGACGCGCGCCGCTCAGATCAGATTCGATAAATGAGACGTGTTTATTGTGCGTCTTCTACGCCAAAGATATACAAAGTCATGCGCGCGTCACTCGTAATTAGTGTCTACATTTTCCTTTATTTCCTGTGTACTAATTAACGTTTTTTTTTTTGCTAACAGCTACCGCATCTCGCACTTCTAATACCTTTTTTTTTTCTTGTTGCTTTTCTATATTTATTCCCATACGAATTAAATTGCAATTGTGAATCGCCATTCGGCAAACATTTGTCTCTCGCTTCGCTTTAATTTCGCAAGAAATCCATTCCGAAAAATGTGTATACCGAGTCTCGCAGATGTCACATGTGCAATTGAAAAATAACGAAGATTATATTACCCCTGTGCATATCATAATGCCTCGAGGAAGACGCTACGCCACGGTCAACCTCAGTTATCTGCTCTTCCCTACGTATCTTTTGAGAATTTCGTACATCTCTTGTCGAATGGTTAGGTAATTATTCGCCGTCGCGCACGCATTGTGGTTACTTAAATTCGGCATACGCTGAATGCGAAATTACATTCTGCTTGTCCTCCTCAGCGGATCCTCCGCGCGTTCCTTCAAGTGGTGCCTCCCTCGCGCAGCGACTTTTGTTGCTCCAGAAGCCGCTCCAACGGGGAAGGACCCGGCCCGGACCACAGAGACTGCTGATGGAGCCGTGTTTTCACTTGATCTTGATTGCTCGAGCCCGAATTAATTGATGCGTTAACGGTACTCCACGTGTTGCCACTGAACAAGGAGTAAGTGTTGCCGGTGCTCACTGCTTGGGACGGCTTCTGTTCGAGCTAGATAAGAACGTTATTATCTAATTATTCAAGACAGAATACTTCTAAAATATGTAACTTCTTACAATATACAAAGTAAGATCAAATCTGATGCTAAATGAGCCTTATAATATTCATACGTCGAATTAAAAAACTTCAAATTAAATATATATGATGAAAAATTAAAGACTTTATTAGTATCGAGAATTATAAAAATTATGAGATTATGTATGAAATTAGATAATTCAACTTGTTAAAAGAAGAATCAAATAAATGAAAGAAATGATTATGAACATACATCCAAAAACTTTCTGTTAGAAAATTGAAAAAAAAATATGATCAATAATTTGTCTATATTGGACATGAATATTTCGAATTTTCATTTTTCTTTACAAATTGCAGGCTTGTGTTGGACTAATATAACTCAAATTTCTTCAAAATTTCCCAATGTATTACAAATTTTTTGAGTGCAGTTAAGTTAAGCAAAGCTAGTTTTAAAAAACATTTTCTGAAATATATGTATGTATTCATGCATAGAAACATTTTTCGCTTATTTATTTTTCTCAAAATATTGCACAAATTTTGTCGGAAATATTTAGATACTTATATTCTAAACGACGGACTTACCTCAAACAATCTGGAATCCTCAAAGTTACTTCCTGCCATAAGATGTCTGCCATGTTGTCCGTTTTGTTGTTGCGACTGATAATTTTTGCCCGGTGTCAACGGCATTCTACTCGCCGTATTTCCGAGAGTGGTTGAATCGCTCCAGTTCGAGAATGTGTTATCATTAGCGGTCGAATCCTTCATATGCATCTGGGCCGTTGCATTGCCAGTCGAACCCCACCAGGTAATCGGCGGTTGAGGTGGTCGACTGTCCTTCCACAAGTTGAATTGCTCAGTCGGCTCGTAATTGCAGAACATGTAACTGTTCGTCGCGGTCTGCGGTTGCTGCTGTTGCGACTGACTCTTAGCCACGTTGACCTGATTCGGGAACGGGAAGTCCATCGCGTCGGAATTCTTCTTGTAGAACGACGGCGACATTTGACTTTGCGACAACGGTTGTCCGAAGGCTGGGTTTGGACTGAACTGATTGAAGTTCAGCGGGAAATTGGACGTGTTGGTCGGGCTCTGTGAGCTCGCCAACGTCGTCAGAGTCTGCTGCTGGGGATCCTTCTCGTACACCGACAACGCCGATATCATCGCCGACATGTTTGCCATATTCGAGCCGTTCATATTCAACTGACTGTGCATGTCGCTCGGTCTGGGATTGCTCTGCATCATGCCCGGTTGCTGTTGCAGCCCCATCGAGTGGTTCTGTTGCTCCATGCCCATACCTGGTTGCAGCCCCATACTATTCGTTTGCAAACTCATGCTTTGCGACATCATGTTTTGCTGAGCAGGCGATCCCAGCTGTATGTTTTGCTGCAGCAACTGCGCGGGACTGTGAGATACGTTCTGCGGCATCCTCTGATGCAACGGTCTGCTCTGATTGATCGTGTGGTGTATCCCATTAACGCTCTGCGGCATCGGTGGAACCGATGGCTGGCCGTTACTACCGAGTTGCCCTTGCATCTGATAACGCGGCGCGTTCGCCAGCGGCGATCGATTCGCCATGAAGTTCTTGGCGAACTGCGGATTCTGCACGTTGAACGATTGATTCGGGTAGCAGACCGGCCCCAGTGTCGACGCCTGTTGAGCGCACTGCGACGTCATGGCGGTGTGCATTTGCGGGAGGATTTGCTGAGCGACTTGTTGAGTCTCTTTGGTTGCCAATTGATTCACTGGACCTGGTGGCATGGGGATGCTAGGCGGCAATTTAGCTGGTCTCTGCTGCTGGCTCTGAATCGACGCGGATTGGCCCTGACCGGCGGACGGGGCGAGCGACATCGCCGGTAGTCGATTCTGAACGTTGAAAAGGATATTATTTGCATTGGCAGCTTCACTAGCTTTCGGCATCTCCGGAATTGGCGTCGGTTTGTTTGCAACAGAAGCAATCGACGGAACGGCGCTCGCTACCTTCGCCTTTCTGTCACTCTCCTCCTCGACGATCACAGGTGACACGTTCTTGAACGTCACTTGCTTCTGCTCGTTCTCCGCGCGACGCATGATCGCCTGCATCGCTATGTTCTGTCGCGGTTTTCTCGCACACGTTGGAAGAGCGCTCGCCTCGCTGCTGCTCGTCTCCGCGACACTCACCGAGGAGTCTCGATTTCGTTCCAAGGAGCCCTGCGGTTTAAGAATACCCTGGAAAATCTTCTTATCTGCAGAAATCTCGAGGTCGGTTTCCACAGAACTTTTGCTGCTAGTCGCCTCGGACAGTACCGGGCTTATCGAAGTGTCGAGTTGCTTGTCCTTGTTCAAGCTAAGCTCCTCGAGTTCCTTCATCAACTCGTTGCTGGGCCCAGCGCCATTGCTCATAGACGTGAATTTGTTATCGCCCGTTTTCTCCTCCGTCATAATCGAGATCGGCGTCGATCCGTTGATTTGATACTGAGCGAAGCAACGGCCCAGCTGCAGAATGCGTACCGCCCGTAGCTTGTTTAATGTCGCGACGTCACCTTCGAGCGCTGTATTCGCGAATCTGAGATTCTCGAAACTCTTCTCTAACGGTAGAAAACCCTGAAGGTCGCGGTCTTCTGGCAGTGGTACTGCAACATCTGTAGAATATAGCATTATATTATAAATCTGTCACACAAATTTTCATTTAATATTTATTTAATTTGTGATATTTTAATATATAATTCATATATATTCATATAAATCTAAGCAATGTTCATTGAAAAATTTAAGAATATAAATAAAAAATTTCGCAGTATATATACTTTTTTAATTCTTAAACTCATTGATTAAATATGTGAACAAATAATTTTATAATAAATAAAATGCAAATACTTACATTCATCATATTTAAAGTCCACGACGCAGTTCTGCAAGGCATTCAAAAGCACGCAAAGGCTGGGCCAAATCTGTAATCTTGATGTAAAAGCAACTTCTTCCAAAACCGTAGGTTTTATGTTGATCCAATCAAGGCACAGTTTTACTGTAGAAAAAAGATATTATCTGTTACTCTGATCTGTCTTGTGTCAATCTCGTCGAAAATGTAAATTGCGATGATGCATAAAGTGCTTACTTGAAGGCAAGGCAAAGTACTCGATGATGGAGTTCTTTATCGTGTAGACAGGTAGCAGCAAGGCAGACAGAGTGCCCGCGATTAGGTCCAGTATGCAGTTGCGGGCGAGCTTTTTATCGTTGGCTATTTGCTCGTTCCTGAGCAATTCCATGCTATCGGTGCCAATCCCGGCTGTGTGTTGCAGAGCGTATAGATTGATCACAAACATCTGCACGAGCATCCACGAACTGAAACTCTCAGTGGCCACCAACGCGGTCAGCGTTTCCGTCAATTGCTTGCTGTACAAGCATGCCAACTTCAAGTCGCCAAGTATGTGGATTATTCCATGGAGCTTCAGAAAAACAGCGATGTATTCCTGAGAATTCAATTTGGTCTTGCCGTCAATATTGAAGGATTTGTCGTTCAACGCGGAGGACAGAGTTGTGGCGAGGTTTGCCGTAGCGACCGGAAAGGGATGTTTCACGGCTACTGAACGCGCGTAGTGAAACACCGTGCCCAATTTATCACCACGCGAAGCCTCCAGGAGCGCCAATTGGTTATACGGCTGCCCGCTGGATGGTGATAGCGAGACAGCGTGTCTGTAAAACATCTCGGCTTGTTTGCTCTCATTTCTGTATCGTGCGATATCGCCCAGATGTACAAGGCAATATTGGCAAGCGTAAAAGCAAGAAGATTTGTGAGGCGGAGACAATTTCTCGACGGCCTTCCATGGGGACGTACATCCGTACACGTAACCTTTCCTGCAAAAAAATAATCGTCCTCTCGATAATATATAATCTCAACAGAGCTGAATTTAAAAATAGATGTGTGCAAAATATTTGCATAAAAGGGTGGTTAGCTGCCGTTCGACATGTTATATTAGAATATTAGAAACTTTCAATGGGAATATTCTTTATTTCAATAAAAAACAAAATATCAAGTTAAGAGGAAATAAACAAATCGCAATATCGTATTGTTTTTTGAAAGACAAAAATTTCCAAGCAATAATAAATAAATTGAAAAGATAATATAAGCTCTGTATGACAGCGATTAACTCGTAATTGGCAGGTCCTGAGTTCCTGATTCTTACTCCTATGTATATCTCGATTTTATACGAGGTAAATTGAAAATTGTAAGTGATAAAAGGAGGGAGGGATAATCTCTCTCCTTCCTAGAATTCCACATTTCAATACAAATAAAAAAAAACGAGCCTCATGTTTCGAAATGAATAAACGAAAACCTGTGTGCAAAGGATGTGTACCTTCTAAACGGTAGATCCAAATCAAATACAGTGCAGATCTCCTGCAGCAAGGTCAAGTAGAAACCGCTGGCCGCTTCTAGGCACCAACTGAGCAGCGCCTGGGACTCGCCTCGCTTGGGATTCTTCCTGTCCTTGGCCTGCGACTGCAGGGTCACTATATAATTCTTAAATCCAAGACTCCACAGCTCCTGCTCGACCTTCTTGTCCAGGGCGTACTCGAGATCCAGTATGAGGACCTGCTGATATATCTTTTGCAGCTGCTGCTGACATACCCAGGCATCGTTGTCGTTAAGCAAATCCTTGCAGCGCTGGACTTTGTCCTTTAACGGTTCCGCTTTCCTGCGTCAGGCCGTCACATCAGGCGCGTTAATAGAAGATTCGAGGGATGGATTTACATATTTATAAGTCGATGACATATTTAATTTTTAATTGATCGAATCTTACTTCAGAGCCTGAACGGCTGCCTTTAGGCCCATATTCCGTCCTCCCTGCTGGTCAAACGCGACGTCCGTCACCTGCACAATTCGTCACGCTATTAGTGTCATTCCGACTCCGGAGGGAATCTAGCTTCGCGAGGGCTTTTAAATTTCGAGACAACTTCCAACAGATCGGTCCCTATCTTAACCTCTCATCGGCGATCGCTCTCGGATCTCTCGACCGCGACGCGACCGCGCCAACGACGGACTACGTCTCGGACGAGGTGACGCGGTGAGGGCGATCGTGAACGAACGTACGTTTCGTCATCATCGATCCGGGAAGGGAGAAAAAATCGACTGTGCACGATGCGGCCGGAGGAGATCGCGACGCAATTGCTCGCGCTCGGCAGAAAGTTGACTAAGTGGCCGCCATTTTTTTTTCTTTTTCCCCAGCGCACCACCGAAAGCACAAATAAGCGCGACCCGTCGCGCGACGTGCGCGCGACGTAACCCTAACCTGACCCAAACAGTCCGGTGTTCTTCGCCGGGAGTTTTTGATTCTTCCCTCGTGGGAGCGAGTCAAAGGGATGAAATCGCGGCGAGACCGCAATAATTCACGCGAATGCTCTTGCTGTTGCTCGTCATGACAGGAATATCTGTGGAGATTACGAAAAAAGTATAAGTACAGGTTAGGTCGAGTGCGGCGATGCGCGTGTGTATGTACGTGTGCATGACTTCTTCATATCCTTCACGCTGTGTGCGAAGCGCCAAAGTGTGAACTGGCGGCGAGGCAAAGTGCGTGGAGATTAATTTGGCGGCAGAGTTGAAAAAAAAAACGACATGTCGCGATGACAGCGAACATCTCGCCGATCGCGCGACTCGCTTGCTTTTAACGCCTCCGACCTCCGACGCTGACAGACGGAAGCTCGTGTCAAGGAAAGAGAGAGAGAGAGAGAGAGAGAGCGACTCTCTCTCGGGACAGAGAGAAACCTAACCACGTCCACGTGCCTAATCAGCGCGCCTTGTCAGAGGCTCGAAAACTCCCGCCGATACGCGGAGAACATGTTGAGCAAAGAGGTGGCACGGAATTTTAACCAGCGCGCGTATCGACAGAGGCTTGTTGGTAAGGTGAAAAACTGCTGAGCGAAGAGGCACGGAATCCTGGACAGCGGGCCTCGTCAAAAGCTCGAAAACTCCCGCCGATACGCGGAGAACACGTTGAGCGAAGAGGTGACACGGAATCCTATTAATCCTAGCCAGCGCGCCTCGATGTAGAGGCTGAAAAACTCCCGCCGATACGCGGAGAACACGTTGAGCGAAGAGGTGACACGGAATCCTATTAATCCTAGCCAGCGCGCCTCGATGTAGAGGCTGAAAAACTCCCGCCGATACGCGGAGAACATGTTGAGCAAAGAAGTGGCACGAAATCCTAACCAGCGCGCGTATCGACAGAGGCTTGTCGGTAAGGCGGAAAGCTGTTGAGCGAAGAGGCACGGAATCTCCCACTCTCATACGGCGCGTAGGCCCCGCCTCTCAGCGCAAAAGCAGCATATATGCGTGAGTGGGGGCAGCGGCTCCTCCTCCACGGCGCGCTGGCGGTCTCCGCCCCGAATACCTCTGCCACCTACTTAGTTAATGTGCGCTCCTGATACTTTATTCGATTTAAACGAAGTTTCTGACGCTGCGAAAGCCGCGGTTTTTGCTTAACCTCTCATCTCTATATGTACTTTTAACAATATTTATGACCCTTTGTGCATCTCCACAGATGCGTAATTAAATTTAAACTATTATTTAATTATAAAAAACATTAAAATTACTCCAAATTTAATTTATTATTTAACATCTATTGATTATATATAGTATAATTACGTATAAGGCGCAGCAACTTATTTTTTACGATAAAACATAATAAACACTGAAAATCGTTCGTTAATTATTATGTAACAAAAATGTTCTAGAATATTTTATTAATAAAGTCTTCTCGAAGAGAAGCGTGCTTTCTCGAGAAGACTTAAACAATAAAATATATTCTAGAATGTTATTGTTGCATAATGATTAACGAGAGACGTGAAATTGCTACTGTATAAAGGCATTTCTCGGAAAATCATCGCGCCTATACCGTCTCCCGTCGGCGGAGGATTTGGATGTTCCTCCTTTTCGTTATCATCCATGCAACAATATTCTAAATTATTTTATCGTTTAATTCTTTTCAAGGTAGTATGAGTAATGAGACTAGCATTAAAGAATACAGGGATTGCAGATATATAGGTAATAATCCAGCGTGTTGCTTTTCGGAGCTTCGTCGAGCCCCTGTCAGATCACACCGCGCCTTCTCTCCCGTCGGCACTTGGATAGACGTGGTACGTAGTTCCTTTTTTGAAAACGTGGACGTGGAGCACTGGTGTACGGGGTCACGGGGGGAGATCGCCGGTCCCACGCAAAAGGTCGGCGCAGGTCGGCGTGGCCGCTCTCACGCTTCTCTCTGCTCGGGACAAAATTTTTCAAATTGGCCTCGTGTCTCGCGCAGGAATAATGGAGAGATAACGAACGTTCGATAACGCTCTCTTCCTTACACACGCGTCACTCCGCGTCACCGGGATCTTCGTGGACCGTGTATATATATTTACGGTGGGATGCACCGCGCGCTTTGAACGCCGCGAGGTTAGCCGTGGATAACCTTACGTGTCGGCAAAAACATGTCGAGTGTTATCGCGAGGCCGCGCTTCAGCGGATATTTAAAACCCCTTCGGTGCCTGTGGCAGCGGCAAGTAAGCACGCAATTATTCTTCTGCAATCCCCCGCGTGCACGAAGTGTCCTCGGAGCTTCGGACGCGATGTCTCGTGTGTCTATAACCTAATTTCCACGGAGGCATTTAACGATACAACCTCACACACGAATTAAATCCATTTCTACCGGTGTAGATTAACGTTAATCTCGATTCTATTAATTTTTTTTATTTTTTTCTAAACTTTATTTCTACCAATGTAGATTGACTTTAATTCTCGGTACTTATTTTGTATCTTTAACTTATTTTGTATCTTTTTCCAGTTTTAAAAATTAGAAAAAGATAAACAGAGAATTAAACCGAGATTAAAATTTATCCACATTGGTAGAAATAGACATATGCCCCGCATATAATTTCTAATGGCCATTTCCACCAATGTATAGATTAACCTTAATCTTGGCTTAATTTATTTTGTATCTTTTTCTAGTTCTAAAAAAAAATACAAAAATTAAGTTAAACCGAGTTTAAAGTTAATCTACATTAATAGAAATGGACATAATAAATTCGAATTAAACCTCTTCAATAAAATTAATTTTCTAATAATTTAGCTTAAAGTTTCGTGATTATTATTATTATTATTATTTTATCAACGACTCTGTCATTCCTGTTTTCTTATTCCAGCACAGCACGATAATCGACACAACCAGGAGCAAGCAAGAGAATCTGGAAGCCAGACAGCGGGAAGTCATGGCGCGAGGCCTTCCTAAACGTAAACGCATAAAGGGCGTAAGACAAATCTTCCTGATCGCCTCCGGTAAGGGTGGCGTTGGGAAATCGACGACAGCCGTGAATTTGGCGACTGCCCTGAAGATTATCGAGCCGAGGAAGTCCGTCGGATTGCTGGACGCCGACGTTTTCGGACCCTCCGTACCCCTCATGATGAACATACACGAGTCACCGGCGCTGAATCGAGAGAACCTCATGGAACCTCTCGTAAATTATGGTGTGAAATGGTGATTAGCTGTCGGTTGGTCCGAGACGATCAGACAAACGGGGATCGCACTCCATAATTTTATACTCTCGCACGCAGTATGTCCATGGGATTTTTAATTGACGAGAAATCACCGGTGGTCTGGCGGGGACTGATGGTGATGAGCGCGCTGGACAAGCTGGTGAATCAGGTGGCGTGGGGGCCGCTCGACTATCTCGTGATCGACACTCCCCCCGGGACGGGGGACACGCACCTCTCTCTGATCCAGACTCTCTTTATCGCCGGCGCGCTGCTGGTGACGACGCCGCAAAAGGTCGCGCTGGAGGTGACCAGGAGAGGCGCGAATATGTTCAGGAAGCTGGACATTCCCGTCGCCGGTATCGTGGAGAATATGAGCAGCGTTACGTGCCCGAAATGCATGACGGAGGTGCCGCTCTTCGGCAACGCCACGCTCTCGCTGGCTAAAGAACTCGGTAATGAATTATTATCAATAGTTGCATTATTTATAAAATTATGAATAAGATATAATTTAACTGAAAATAGCTGTAACTTGTACGGATGTTTATATAAGTATATTAATGCATGACGGAGGTGCCGCTCTTCGGCAACGCCACGCTCTCGCTGGCTAAAGAACTTGGTAATGAATTATTACCAATGGCTACATTATCTGTAAAATTATCAGTGAGACATAATTTAACTGACGATAGTTGTAACTCGTACGAATTTTATACGAGAGGTTTAATACTTTTTTCTTCGGATTTGTTGCAGATGTAGATATTTTACAGACGATACCAATGCACGGGAATATCGCGGAAAGTTCGGACAACGGTAAACCGATTGTCCTGGCGGCACCAAAGAGCAGACAAGCAGAAGTTTATAGGGAATTAGCAAAACGTGTTGTTACATTTTTAAATAAGCAGGAAATAAATGACGAGTGATAAAATAGAAAGAATTTTGGCTCGTAAGAATTTTTTTTCTAGCCTTCTACAATACATTAATAAAGATTCTATCATTCTAAAGTGTTACACATTGCCATGCAATTGCGCTTTTTAATTATGTACATGTGTCTTAAGAAATAAATGTTTATAATTAAATCGATAATTAAAGTACAAAAAATATAAATTAAGAGATTTATAAATAATGTATAAAAATTATAATTTTTGATAAATTCTAACTTATTTGAAAAATATAAATAAATATTTTTCACATAATACTATATATTCGATTATAATCTTTATAACGCTGCAAATAAGAATTTATACGCGATATTATTAATTTGAATGATTTTGACGTTTCTTGTGCTGCCTGCGCTCGCTCACGCATTGTAAGCTTCGCTCTATCTTCCTTCCGCGTGTGTAATATATGATATGAGTGATAAAGATAGAATGACGTTTACAGCCGGTGAGCGGGTAGCCGGTAAACATCGTTCAAACCGAATGCGGTGATTGCCTGACTGTGTTGTTTTCTATTGGAAAGAACGGTTTTTCGGCAGCTTCGGGAGATCCTAAGGTTATTACAGGTTGACGTTACATTATTGACATTAAATTTTTCGAGCTGGCTATGCAGAATTAAAAATTCTTTTCCAGAATCGAAGTAGACATGAAATAAGTGTTTGGAATGGTCGACTTAACCTCAAAAAATGGACAAGTGAAAAAATTACACATATATATCATTTTTTAATTTTTTCTGTTCTTAAGCTTTAAAAAAATCGACCGTTCCACACCTTTATTTTATCTACTTTAATCTTGGCGAACCTTCAATTCTGTATAGCTTATTCGGAGATTTCGGAGAATCTCCTAACCTTTAATGCCGGGAGGATTTATCTGGCGCTATATAATCTTGCGAGAAGGTAGAAGTGGTTGAAGGCGCTATAATTCACCGGCCGGTGGAGTGAAAGAAAGAGGATTTATCTATACAATCCTGTGGGCTTAGCTTAGTAAACCTATGAATCTATAAACTTGAACTCGATATACTACGAATACATAAGATAAACGTACCAGTGGCTGAACGTGTATCTATATCTGAACACGTACACAACATTTATCAATCGCAAATACTTTTTTTTATTATAATATCAAAATTTAATTATAAAAATATTTAAAGATTACAATTAAATTATAATATGAAAAAAATCATTTGAAAATAAATCTTTGTGTACTTGTTCAGCTATAGATACACGTTCAGCCACTGGCACGTTTACCTTACAGCTACACAAATACACATCTTTAACATTGTTCTTTCTTGTGTATAGTGCATACCCTCGTACGCTGATTTCCTGATTTGGTTGATTCCCATCCAGGGATCACGACCAGTTTTTGTACAAATACACTGCTTATTAAAGCCTGGTTGCTTATTAAAGCCTGATATCAAGACCGCCTCCAGTACACGGAGACACGGACATATATACCAACTAACAAGAAGAGGTGCTTGTTACTGACTGAGCGAAATATGGCAGGAGCTTTGGAATCTATGGTGGTGGACGAGAAACAGCTTCCCGAGAAGCCGGTAGATAGAGAGAAGGTAAATATGGTGAGACGATAACAGGTGTTTTCTAGAAATGTTTTTCTTGTGGATTTAATTCTCTGCCTGGAATATCATTATGACCGATTAAGGTCCACATTTACACCAGTGGAAAAATGAACGAAACTCGCGTTCTTCTGGAATAGCGGTCATTATGACCAGGGTGTTCCATGTGACCACGGGTATCCAGGGGTAGAGGATTAAGCGCTCCTTCAATCGTAGACGCGATTGATGATCTTGTGTGTATTTCAGACATGTCCACTTCTACTGCGAGTGTTCTGCAACACCGGACGTCATCATAATATAATGGAGTACAGCAGGGGAAACGTTCCTTCAAACGAATTGCAGATATATACATGGTAACATTAACTTTATTTGGAGGAGGGAGACTATAACAGTGAATTTTATTGGATACTCTGATATACATTCTTAGCTTATGATTCTTATTAATTCAATTCTTACTACCACAAGGAGCTTACTTCTGATTTTAATTTTTTTTTTAAGGATGGATGCAACTTTGCGGGAAATCACAGGCTTGGTTAAGGAAGTGAACCCGGACGCTCGCAGCAAGGGAACGTACTTCGACTTTTCATTAGTGACTCCCGAGCTACGCAATTCCGGTTATCGCATGCGTGAAATTGGTGTTACGTGTTCCGGACAGAAAGGCGCGGATGATAACAAAACGCTCGCACAAGCAAGGTAACAAATTTCGAACAGGTGATTCTTTTTTTTTTTTAATAGGCATTTACATGTGATTCTTTCATTTATTACACATGAGTGTATTTTGTACAATCGCAGATTCACAATAGGAGATTATCTGGATATATCGATAACGCCGCCGAACAGGATGATGCAACCAGCAGCTAGACGTGGTGGTTTACGTCAATATTAATATAACAACCTTAGTATTTAAGTTATGACAAGAACAATATGTCTTTTATAAGTGAAATGCATATGCTATGGCAAAAAGACTTCCCAAACTTTGTGCTTATAAGTGATTAAGATAAAATTATATTTCACGTACGAGGAATTTTACATATAAATATATTGAGCATAGCGGAATTGTAATGGCTATATTTATTTTATATAATCATTTAGTACGTAGTGTACATGATTAGAACCTAATTGATTGGATTACAAGTAGACTATCACTTCAGATTTCCCTGGACTAAATCGTGGATAATCCTTTGTTTTCAACCAGACCACGTATATGATCAAAACTGCAACTCTTTCGTAATACTGATAAGAACTATTGCAAACGTATTCTTGAGAAATTAATAATAATGTCGATCGAGAGAATAGTGTAAATTGTAATGCAGGCAATAATGTAAGAAAAAATACGAGAGTTACATGTAACCCATATGTTTGAGCATCTCTTTGTACCTTATAAATAGTATATTCTTTATGAATGCAGAATATTTCAAGAATATTTAAATATATAGGTTGATATTTGAGACATTTTCTCATCCTTTTTTTATAATAAATACTATATTTTTATATTAAACAAATATTTAATTTAAAATCAGAAATTATACTTAAATACAAGAGTATTATAATATATATTTTTTATATTCTTTAATGAAAATTATTATAATGCTTATCTAATATATATAATTATTAAATATTAACTTCTAAGGTGGGGAGACACTCGATTTTTTAGCTATATGTATAAAATAAGCTTAAAACCCATTCTACATGCCTTATGTCGGTGTTGTAAGTTGTAATCCTTAAAAATTGACCAATCATAAATCGAATGTGAGAAAAATAATCGATTATGACAGTCAATTTTTAACGGCTATTGCAAAAAAGTAGACTTTATGGATTTTTCGATATTTTAGTATCGCTTCTTCTTTTCAATTGGCACCTGTTCCCAGACGGGGGTAAGCCGGCCAGATTTTAGTATTGCATTATTTGCATTTATGTTTCGTGCCCTGGCACTGTGCAAGACTCACAGCGCGTGAGGAGTGGGGTTGGAAATGAGGGACTCTGGATTGGTTTGTTCCCTCGCGAGCAATGGAAATCGACCGTTCGTTCCTGTCGCCGCGTTACAAACGGGGCATGCGCTCTCCGCGCGCTCCGGACTTGAGCGTCCCTGTCTCGTTGGAGTCGTTGGTGTCGGCAGTCTGGTGTTTTCTCGATTTTGGCGGGCCGGATTGTGGACCGTTACTTTGTCCTTCAATTATCTCTCGAATTAACCAACTTACGAAGGATAAATGATGGCAGACAAGGACGGCGGTAAGGATACGCATATTCTTTTACGTCGCTTTCGGCCGTGCTCGCTTCACTTTCTCGCGAAAAACAAAACATTCGGCCGGCTGTCCCGGGGAGAAGGACGCCTCGGCGAAACCGATACGTTGCCGTCTTCCCACAGTTCCCACGGCGTGGCCTCTCCTCGCCTCGCCTTCCTTGCCTTCGTCGCGTGGTTGGAAGCATGAGAAGTAAATTCGAACGACGAACGATTGCCCCTGCACGTGCTCGTGACGGCCCGAGAGCCGCGAAAATCCCGCGTTCCCGGTACCGGTGCGGTTATACTTGCCACCATATATACATAAATATACATATATATGTATAAATATGTATATATGTATAAACACACACGTATATATAAAACGGAATTTGTAACAGATACACACGAAATATCTCGCGACGATGATTTCAAATCGATGTTTGAACGTATGTGTTTATTAAGTATTTATATAAGCGCGCGTTTCGAGAAAATTCCACTCTGGCACGTTAAATAGAAAAGATTCTCATTGATTTTAACGATTATTTCTTTGATTTTGCCACAAAGTACTTGTAATTAAATTATTGCAACTTTGCGGTATCTTGATCTAATAAATAACAATAAGAGTAATAGCTTTCAATGATTTGATTTAATATTTGCATAAATACATTTCCCATTTTAATTTTAAAGTACATATGATTAGTAAAAATGTAAAATTTATATATATATACTGTAGAGTGTGCGATGGTGATAAATTATAGGACAAATGGCGAGATAGTATGGTTCTTGTAAAAATAGATTTATGGAATATATTTTTCATCGATTGGTTGCACAGTCGTGGGAAGTGATTTTGAACATGCATCTAGTCGTCAGATGTATGTCGAAACTCTTGCATACATTTTAATTGAATTTATTGCATATGAACGAGTTTTACATAAGGATTCACTAAAATAAAAATATGAATACATCTATCAAGATATATGTTTATGTTCGCGTGTTATTAGTCATTTCTTATAAGCAACCTTAAAATTTGTTTATATGACATTACACATTTATTATTATAAGGGACACCGTTATTGTCTATGCTAGTTAGTTTTCACTGATCTTCCAATGGAATCAGGATGAAATCGTCGTTCATGTTATGCAAATACTCTTAAAAATATTAAATCAAGTGTTGAAAAAAAAAATTTGGAAAATCTTATTAGAGTAAACAATTCTACATATGTGCTACCAATTAAAAAAAAAAGGGATTAAACTGAATATAATTGGAAAAACTGAGTCAAATAAGATTTTAGTTGAGTCGAATATGATTGAAGAAGCTGACAATGAGTCAAATAAGATTGAAGGAGCTGAGTCGAATAAAATTGTAAGAGCTGAGTCGAGTAAGATTGAAGGAGTTGAGTCGAATAAGATGGAAGGAATTAAGTCGAATAAAATTGAAAGAGCTGAGTCGAGTAAGATTGAACAAGTTGATTTGAATAAGAGTGCAAGCAAATCAATTATAGAGAGTATTCAATCAATGGATGGAACCACACAGCTGATAAGAGGTGATGTAATTGCTATAAAACATTCTGTAATATTTATCCTGTAATTGGAATAATATATAAACTAATACATGAACATGAGTTTTTATAATCATATTTGAAATGTCCCTTAAAAACTGTGCAACTAGTTGAAAAGATGAATTGTGTGGTTTTTATCTTAATGACGAGAAACTCGTTATTTTTGCTAATATTACATCTCCATCTTCTAACCCATCCAGCAGTTTTTTTTTGTCTATTATGCCTCGCCAATTGTTTACGTGTATCAGATAATTTACGTTATACCTAGTAATTATATTTATATGATCTCATACATTTTATTCATGTATTTTCTAAGATGTAGAAATTTTATGTAAAAGGAGATTTAAGCGCCGCTGTTTGTTCAGAGGGCTTTGACGACGCGGTGGAGGAACGTATTATCAACGAGGAGTATAAAATATGGAAAAAGAACACACCGTTTCTATACGATCTTGTCATGACACATGCTTTGGAGTGGCCCTCTTTAACGGCTCAATGGCTTCCCGATGTCACTAGACCTGAGGGAAAAGATTATTCAATTCACAGGCTAATCTTGGGCACTCACACTTCGGACGAACAAAATCATTTGCTCATAGCTAGCGTCCAACTTCCGAATGAAGACGCTCAATTCGACGCCTCACACTACGACAATGAGAAGGGTGAATTTGGTGGATTTGGTTCCGTGAGCGGTAAAATCGAGATTGAAATCAAGATCAATCATGAAGGCGAAGTCAATAGAGCGCGATTCATGCCGCAAAATCCATGTGTGATTGCAACGAAGACTCCCTCGAGCGACGTGCTCGTATTTGATTATACCAAACATCCCAGTAAACCGGATCCCAACGGGGAATGTCATCCAGATCTTAGGTACTTGCGCGACTTGTCATACAACTGTATCATGGATACAGAGCATTTATATGAATATAACTGTTATATACTTGAATATTACAATTGCAGATTGCGAGGACACCAAAAGGAAGGTTACGGACTCTCATGGAATCCGAATCTTAATGGATATTTACTTAGCGCGTCTGACGACCACACGATTTGTTTGTGGGATATCAATGCCACACCGAAGGAAAATCGTGTTATCGATGCGAAAACTATCTTTACAGGACACACAGCCGTGGTCGAAGACGTCGCTTGGCATTTATTACATGAATCCTTGTTTGGTTCAGTCGCTGACGATCAAAAGCTAATGATCTGGGACACTAGGTGATTATAATTTTTAGTTAACAATACAATTCATAAATATTTCTTAGACTTCTAGATAGATTATATTTATTTTATTATTTTATTTTAAGGACGACTTGAGAGTACAGATTTAACTTTAAGATAAAAATTTTCATAAACTTAATGTGATAAAAAATTTTGAGAAAAGCGATATTCTCTAAAAAAACCATTTGAAAAAAATATTTTATTAATACAATTGATATTAATGCTATTAAAATAATTGTTTAATATGTGTGTGTGTGTGTGTATTACGAAACTTAATTGTTAATTTTTTTTGCATATTTGCAGATGCAACAATACTAGTAAACCAAGTCATACCGTTGATGCTCACACTGCTGAAGTAAATTGCTTGAGCTTCAATCCGTATTCTGAATTCATACTGGCTACTGGCAGTGCGGACAAGACTGTGGCGCTTTGGGATTTGCGAAATCTTAAATTGAAGTTGCATTCATTTGAATCGCATAAAGATGAGATCTTCCAAGTCCAATGGTCGCCACATAACGAAACTATATTGGCAAGCAGTGGTACAGATAGACGGTTACATGTCTGGGATCTCAGCAAGATCGGCGAAGAACAGTCCAGCGAAGATGCCGAAGACGGACCGCCCGAACTTCTGGTAATTACGCAAACTAATTTTACGAAATTAATAAATAACCGAAAACATTTCTTCAAAAAATTTATATGTATATTATTTTCTCTTTCAATCACATATAAATTACAATATTTTTATTTAGGTTTAGTTTCCCCAATAATTTTCTAAATGTTTTTGTAGTTTATACACGGAGGTCACACCGCAAAAATCAGCGACTTTTCGTGGAACCCGAACGAACCGTGGGTCATATGCTCGGTATCGGAGGATAACATAATGCAAGTATGGCAAATGGCGGAGAATATTTACAACGACGAGGAACCCGAGACCCCTGGGAGCGAGATTGAAACTGGTGGCTCATAACGTGAAATATAATTCATCAAATTGTTTTGAGCTATCGCCACCTTCTCCCCTCCCCCCCTGACTGAGGATTATAAGCGCAGCCCTAGTTGCGCCATGTTGTTGAACATCTCGGTGTAACGAGCTTGAAGACATTCCTTTTCACCAGTAAACAATAATTCTTGCTTTTAATCATGTAAACTAAAAAGTTAAAAGATTCTATTACCATGTTTTCGGCGAACGTATTGCGCAGATAATACTATCTTATCAGATCTGACTAAATTTGTATTTCGAAATTTGAAAAAAAAAGTTTACGAATAACTTAAAATATTCCGAAAGAATGAAAGTGGTCAGAGTTGTTGTTTTACGGTGACAAATTGGCTATGTTAACAATGAATAAAATAACCAGCTGACAAAATAGTTAGCTATAATAAAATAACTGCTAGTTACACCCGTTGTGAGCCATATTTATATGAAGGCACTGTTTCTCTGTTACAACTTAAAAGAGAACTCAAGTAAGACTAGGGGATGCCAGGTACTTTTTCTACTTCGTTTTAAGCGTGAATAAAGAAATGATGTAAACTCGAGTGGTGTTTAGCTCAATTTACGCTTTTCCCAATTTTATTTATTATCTGATTTTTTTCTATTGTAATTCTCACAATTTAAAATTAATGTCTAATTACAAATCTAAAATAATTCTCAGGTTCTATAAAGAGTGTGTGTGTGAGGGATTGTGTTATTCGTTTCTAGAATTATAACTAAAAAAATAATTATTTTTAATGATTTACAATTTTCTTTTTATCTGTATCGGATAAACGCGAAGATAAAGGTGAAGAAAGCCCATAAATCATCTTTACATCGTCATTGTACAAATCCTATGACATGCGCTTTATATTATAATAAATGGTAGAATTAACGGGTTAATCGTTTTCTTGGCACTTTGCAAATATAATAGGAACGTGCATTTTTTCAAGATAAAATATACGTATATATAATATAAATATATGTATATATTATATAATATATATATATTTATATTTATATATAGACTTTGTTCCCATCTTATAAAGCTGTTTGTGAAAGCTCGTTGTATATTTGCGTGAGTAAGGATCCTTCAAAGCTGTTCAGCGACCAAGCGTCCTCGCTGTCGATACTCGTAATTCTGAAAAAAATAGAGCGTTCGCGTATGTTGTCCTTACAATTAAACTCCGACTTGTTAATTAGCGCAATTAATTGATTATTCATTACCAAAATCTGCGCGTTAAATGGACATCGCTTATAGAGCGTGTCTTATGCCAGCTGCGCATGTGAAACAAATTATTTGCAACACCAATAATTATTTATACGTCGAATTCGAATATATATATATTAGTAGATTTTCATATATGTAATAAATTTTAAAAACTCACCCTTTTCCGGCGTCTTGCCGTTTAATACCGTCGAGCAGGCTCATTATAGATGGTGTCAAAGTCGGACGAAATACCTGAAATAGCCGCGTTAATTTCGTAGGAAATTAAATTGAGTTAACTTTACATTAATTACTCTAGATCGAAAGAAATCGGACACTCACAGTTACGGCCGCGCATCGCATCTCGCGAAGATCGATATTCCGGAAGAGATCGTGGATCAACAATTCCTCTATGCTGGTGAAGTGATTTTCCGATTCCGTGAATATCAACTCAAGAAATCTCACGACCTGAAATTGCAATACATAATTCAGATTTCTTATTTTATGATTAAGATTGTTATTTTATGGATAGACTTTATTTTACAGACATGCCGGATTGTTATTGCGAACAATTTTTACCTGCGGATACATTTCGATGTCTGATAGCTGGACGGCAGATGGTCTGAAGGTGCATAATTCGTAGCCGGCGCACATTTCGAATAGCATATGCCCTGGTAATGTAAAAATAAGTTTATTGTCGTCGATAAAGTCATCTGTTATAAAATTAAATTCGAAAATAACATGCGTTTTATTGAAGAACTGGATTGAGCTAAGTTTTTTTTCAAAACTCATTGAAAAGTGTATACAAAATTTTATTAAAATATTACACATTCTGCTAATATAGATATCTAATTTAAAATCGTATTAAAGTTTTATACTCTGCTGGAAGACATATAGAGAGCGATCATGAAAATTGTATTAAAAAGAGTATCCGCCAAAGCTGATTATATTAATAACGCGAAAGCTTGATTTTAAATCCCTTTGAAAAGCTTTGCATTAAAAAATATATGTTGCTCTTTACCGAAACATATAATATCGATCGAGGTGGAGTGCGTTAATCGGGACGTCACGATGGGATGTATGCGACTGGTGAAACCTAAGAGGGTGTTCTCCAGGCCGGCCAGTCTTGCGACCCCGTTTTGAATCACCACGTTGCCCGAATGGAGATGAGTCACCGTGGGAAATCCTCGTTCCTTCAAAAACACCAGCGATTCCAATATCTGCCGTCCCATTCGTTGCACTTGTGGTAGCGTGAGTCCCTTGCCTCGCGCGGCATACTTATGAATCCAGTCCTCATTCCAGCAGTTTCGCTCGATCTGTCACAAAACATTGTTTTCGCTAGGGTATCATCCCAAATGCGAGCTCCCCCCTCCCCCCCCGCCCCTCGAACGCCCAGCCTCAGGGATCTCGGATATACAAAGCGCCGAGACAAAAATTATTTGCGTTATTAGCGATCAGAAATAAATGGCCTTCAATTATCCTGACCTTACATTATTTGAATGTAATTATTGAGTGAAGTTAATTTATTAAGACGTTAACAATTAAGAAGAGCGTGTGAAGAGGGTGATATCTAACAGAACTTTAACTAATTGTAAGACAAAAAAAAGATGAATAAAAATAGTTGAAAATCGATTAAGTAGAGCGAAGATAAAATTCGTACGCGTATTTCTTCATTCTCTTCTGAAGAGCTGAATACATTTCTGTGCGACGAAGTACTTACGCCGTATACTAGATCCTTGAGGCTGCCCTGGTTGATGGGCTGCACCAGGACGATGTACGTTTGGTCCTCATACTCCAGAAAATCGACGTGAAAGACAGGACAGACGTAGGGGTGTTGTAAGGCCAGGAACAGATTGTTCAAGATGTCCTTGGTGGAGGGACAGACGGTCAGCGGACAGTTACAATTCAACGGTACCAAAGTCAACAGTCGGTCCGTTTTCAGCGACGTGTCTCTCACCATGAACCAGTACTTATCTACTCTCGATCCTGAAAGATATTTTAACGGTTCCGTCAATTTTCTTTTTTAGATAAAAAGGAAATAAGTAAATTAAATAATTTTTATTAATAAATAAATTAAAGAATTTAATTTTCTATTTTATACAAATTCTCGAAGTATGGCCAATAAGTGCTCATATGGGAAAAAAAGAAAAAAAAAAGTTTCTAATATAAAGTCGTGTAGATTATTGATTTTGCATCGGTAACTTCTCTCTCTCTCTCTATTTCTCTCCTTCGTTCTTTAATTTTTTCTGCTTTAAAATTTTTATAACTTGTTCTCATTTTACTACTTTCTCAAGTTCGGATTTTCGCTACGTTACAATTTTATCGAGGAATGAGTTACGGTTTCAGGACACTATACATTTTTTATTTGACACTTCAACGGCTTCGACGGAATCACGAGGACTCACCGATGTTGTTGAGCTGTTTAATGAGAACGAAACGCGGTGTTTTCCCGATATAGTCACGACAAATTGATAAAGCACGATCGCGGGATCTCTTCTCCATTTCCATGTACTCGGCTCCATCCTCGCTGACAGATTTTGACCCGTGATTCAGCGCCGTGTAACGGCCGTTCCTGTTGGGAATACATAAAATCTTATTTGACCATCCCGTCTTATTTAATCATACTCTCTCTTCTCTTTCTCGCTTCTCTCTCCGTTGGAGAATAAAGCACAGATTTTGTAGCGTTGTTTTAATTGACGATTTAATTATCCTGAATATTTAGGACTCTCGGATCTGCGTTTAGAATCCAGCAGGTGAATAATGTATATAATTGAATGAAAAAGAAATGCAAATTGCCGGATTTCGAAGGAGACAAGGCAGAATAAAGAGTAACAGATATCGTATCTATTATACATGCTGTTAATGTGTTTTAAAAAGTTTCTGTCTGTGATTATTAAAGGGAATAATAATGAACAAAAGATACAGTGAATGCCAGACTTTTATAAGAAGAAGCAGCAGCAGAATAAAATAGCACGCGTATCCGTGCATACATATTTATGCGTTCTTATAACCGCTCGAGAATTTCTCTCTCTCTCTCTCTCTCTCTTAATATCCTTTTTCATATATTATTTTATATATCGTAAAAACAGTTCTCTACCTGTCGTCGAAAGATGCCGCGTGGCTTTGCGTTCGCCTAGACAACTCCTCTGCGTTATCGCGCCTCGGGCAGCAACAAAAGCGGATTAGATTCGCGAGCCACGGATTACGGTGCGGTCGCGTACCACTAACGCGCCACGTTGCTCTGTGGCTGCAAGGGGTTTCATCCAATAAAAAAAAAAAAAAAGAGAAGACGGTCACCGCCACCGGTCGTCGGTCTTAACGCGGCTTGCGCTCTCGCGATGGTAAATATAATATAATATAATTGAATTGAATGCAATCACGTCATCACGCGCGCCGAGTGTCCCGGGACTCCGTATCGCTGTCTGAATTCGTCGGAGAACGAAAATAGGCATTGCGATACTTCGAGAATGATAAGAGGAATCTTATGGTCCCGGGACACTCTTCGTTTTGTTCGAACATTATTACCTGCGTGTCGCAACGCGGAAATTTCCATCCACCCGACGGTCGCTCGCCGAAAGCTCCCGATGGACGTCCGGTCGCGCACAGCTCGTCATTACTGATCGGACATTTTCACGAAAAAACGATTATCATATGGAAAGAAAAACAAAACGATTGTTGATCGTTACAACGCACGTGACGATAAATGCGCGCGAAAGCGAGAAATCGATGCTCGGCGCCGATAAGAGCTGGAATGTACGAGGCGTCTTCGACGGGCTCGTTCAACGGTTTACAAACAGAGTTGCCCGAGTATGCGTGACACGAATAATTGAAACGGCTAGTTTAACAGGATACACAATGATGTCAGCGGACAATATTAGATCTGACATCAGGGGATGTGCCGCCATGGTGCAAACGAGGAAAATCATTGTTGACGTAAAGCGACAATATTGATAATTACCTATGCACGCCTGTTGGTGTCTCGTTGATGCAGCAACAAGTAATAGCTAACTCAGAATACGGAGAGGAGCGGTGTACGCTATAATATGCGTGAATAATACCACATCCCGAGGGGATAAACCCATTGCTCATTGAGGGATCATTGCGCATCTCGCCTCCTGGAGGAGGATGTCTGGGGGGTTGTGATTTATATTTCACGTTTTGACACGATTTCCTTTCCTCACAAGTGTTCAATCCCACCAAATGTAGTTGAAAGTTCAGCACGAAAGGAAATAACTCAACTAAATAATTCAACTTACCCTCTTATAAAAAATGTATTATTTCTGAAATCTTTGAATTTCTTGGAATATTAATCGTCTTTCAACGTATTTTTATTTCTTCAATTTTGTAACGTTTTATAATTTTATCATATTGTCTCCATAATTCCATAATTATAGCTCTGATTTTATGTAATATTCCATATCTCTATATAATTCCATAATTTCATCTTCAACTTTAATTTCACAATTCCCCTTTAATGTCTTTTTCCACGGTAACTTTATAATCTTTGAACTTTCTGGGGGAGCTCTCCTACACAATCGTATAATTTTATAACTCCGCAATTCTCTCTGCCGCTCTATAAATCCATAGTTCATAAATTATGAAGACTCCGTCTTTTCGCCGGTTAATTTTAACCGACCCCGTATCCGGCGCGAGACTACAAAGCGAGGACCAAGACGCGCGCATTTTCATCCCCTGTGCGAAATACTCACTTGACGTCTCCCTGATCCTTGTATCCCCGCGCCGCTGACACGCGGCTGAAGAGCAGCCGCGCCAGATTGTCCAGCTTGTTCGCCAGCTGATGCTGGCCCTTGTCGTCCTCGCTCTCGTTCTCGTCCTCCGTGCTCACGCTGCGACCCCGTCGCAACGAGCCCCGCGCCGTGCTCATCGCCCTGGCGTTTAGCTCGGTGGCGCTCTGCGTCCTGCGGTTGACGGCACGGCGGCGGCGACGGGTGCTCGAGTGACCGGTACGATGCTGACAGAATCTGTCGTGACCGGTCACCTCCGACTCGCGATTCCGCTGCCCGTCACCGTCGTCCTTCTTGTTTAGACTCTGATAGAGATTGAACATGATTGCGCCGCGATTACCTTGGCGAGTAACTGCTGCAGCTTGGTCCCGGCGCGCCTGAAATCCGTTTTACCATCCTGCCTTTTAAGCCTCATCTTCTCAAAAAGTACTTAATTGTGGCGAATTTCTTTGCTTTGATCTCGCAGACCTCGTTATTTTCATGCTTTTACGTAAAATTAGTATGTAAATATTTAACGAGTGTTTTTTTACACGGTTACTCTATACATTCTTCATAATCTTTTTGCAACATGTTAATTACCGTTGCATAAATATGACAACGGCTGTTTGTATAATATCGTATTTGGATTTATTCAAATAAGAGCTAGTAGACATAACGTTTAATAATCATTATAAAAATAATTAGTGACGGAGTTTTCTAATTTCTTTAAATTCAAATTATAATTCATTGACGATACGAGATTAGACTGACTATGATAGAAACGAAAAATCATTTTGTCATTATTGCAAAGATGAAATTAAAAATTTAATTATATACCATTTTATTAAAAATAAACATATTTCTGATCTGATCTCGTATTATTTTTTTACTCGGGATATTATTTCAGTTCTGTTGCAATAAACTTTTCTGTGAAAACATCAAATGTTAAACGTGTAGCATTGAAAATTGTTTATTTTTAGAAATATAAAATATTTTTATAGAAAACTATCTAATTTGAAGAGCAATGTAATTTGTGTGTGTGTAAAATGTGTGCCGTTAAATTGTTTTTCTATTCCAAATTAAAAGATAGAAGATCAAAGTTTGTTATTTGCAAATTCGAAGACATCTGAATTTTTCTCTCGTGCAATTTATTTTATTATTTAAGAACACTAGTGCATACATAACAGGCGCGCGCTTCGCGCGCGCTGCGTATTAAATCCCATACGTCTCCCAATTACATTTATACCAATTTACATTTTAATTAAACAAATGTTAATTTTTGATATAAAATAAATTTTCAAAAAAAAAAATGCTTTTCGCGCGGTGCGTATTAAACTCCATACAACGTCCAATAACATTTATACCAAACTATATTTTAATTAAACAAATTTTAACAATTTTCAATAAAATAACGTTTTAATCGGCCATATTAATTCGGCCATTTTTAATAAAATCACGATTTTTTAGAATATAGCCACATAATTCATCTTTAAGATAAGCCCAGAAAGAAATCGATATATTTATTTTTCTGGAAGATATGAATTTTTAAACATTGAAAGAAAAAAGCTGCAATGCAGATAACATGGCATTTGATTTTTAAGATAAAAATTTTTTTTATGAAAATTTTTTATATCAGTTAATTTTTAAACAAAAATTTTTTTTGAATATTTTTTATATTATTTAATTTTTTAGATACAAATTCTTTTTGATCCATCATCCACCACCACCCCCCAGGACCGCCACCCATCACCATCACCCACCACAACTACCCATCATCACCACCCACCGCCTCCGCCACTCCCACCACTCATCCCCATCACTTACCACACTACTCTTTACCACCATTTTTTATATCATGTGATTTTTAAGGTCATTCTCCGATTTCTGACATGAGAAACTTTATGAAAATTTTTATTGCAGAAATCGAAAAATATAAAAAATTGTCCGAGAGAAAAATAGTCATATTTATTTTTCAGATTTTTCGATTTTTGGTTCAAAAAAATTTTCCTAAAATTTTTATTGCAGAAATCGAAAAATATAAAAAAATTGTCCGAGGGAAAAATAGTCATATTAGATCGGAAGAGCACACGTCTGAACTCCAGTCACTTAAATTTTTTTTAAATTTTATTGCAGAAATCGAAAAAATATATAAAAAATTGTCCGAGGGAAAAATAGTCGTATTTATTTTTCAGATTTTTCGATTTTTGGTTCAAAAAAATTTTTTTTAAATTTTTATTGCAGAAATCGAAAAATATAAAAAATTGTCCGAGGGAAAAATAGTCGTATTTATTTTTCAGATAGGAAGAGCACACGTCTGAACTCCAGCTC